GTTGACACATTTATGGGTAGGCCCATTTTATCTACTGTACCTGTAAGGAAGGTTAAGTGAGGTTGTAGATGTATAGTACAAGGCACTAGGCTTGTTGACAGGTGACCATTCAGTAAGTGATGTAGCTGCTGTTATTTTTATTGTCCGAGAAAGGATGAGTTGAGAATGGCAGGTGTATGGTGAGGATGGCTCTAGATTGATGTGTCTGGAAGTGAGTGGAGGGGAGTTGGGAGGAGTTTTCAGCTTTCACTGTATTAGGATGTGATCAAGAGTAAGGGGATTGGAGGGGGCTGGTAATGTAGTGTGAAAAGGGTGGAAAAGGTGGACTGTCGTAGTGGGGCATAGTAACCAAAGGTAAAAAGAAGGCTGTAGCACAGCAATGCGGGCTCAGCTGAAGCTGAATTGCGTGCCAGCCGCATGGCTGTGTGGCTGCGCCCAGGAGCAGTTGGCGAACTAGAGGAGGAAGTAGAGAAGACAGCCGGTTTCATCCAGGGGTGGGTGTGGATTCCGAAGGATGGTCAGAGGGGGAGTTGTGAGCCTGTCTCGGAAGCAGTGGCCAGTTTGCTCCTTCCTGAGGACCACAGCGGAGCTCCCCAGCCTGCGGGAAGCACATGCCCAAGGAATTGGACACCTTTAACAGGCTGCTGGTGGAAGTAGAAACATGCCTGTGTAGAACACCAAGAAATTGTGTTTAGGGAATTGTTTCGGGGGTTTCACGTGTTGAAAGTGGTGAATTTCTAGGTGCTGACAGGATCTGGGTAAGGGCAGGTGTTGGCGGCCTAGGGGCTGGATGGGGTTGGGAGGTGGCTTTCTGGGTGAGGAGTTGGACTAAGTGAGGTCAACCGGGATGTCTTCTTCTCGGGTGGGTAGGTGCATAGAGTCAAGTTTTGTACTCAGGAGGTTTTAGGGCGGGCTTGCGTGAAGGAAAGAAGAGTGTAGTGGACTAACTATTCAGAGATCTCGATGAGCTTGAACAGTAAGTGGTGAGGAACGTGGACTAGGGCGGCCTGCGTCTCCATGGGGCAGAGGGAGCCTTTGTCGAGATAAAAGATCAAACTTGGGGTGCTACCAGAAGTTCTTTGTAAGGATCATCAAGAACAGAGGAATTTATAACAAAGCTTCCCTGGATTATAGTCCATTGTCTGCCTGGCGGTTTGGGGGCCACCTACTGCCCACACCCTTGTGTGTATGAGGAGAAAGTAGGCAGATAGACAGGAAACAGTTCCTGTCCTGGGGGCCCCCAGGTTGATGGATAGTTAAATGGACTTCACTGTTGCCAAAAATGCTGCAATGAATGGCCTTGTACATGAGTACTTAGACACTTTCAGGTTTATTTCAGTTTGTTTTTTCTCATTTGCGATATGTTTCCTACTGTGAACTCTGTTTAGAATCCATTCTCTAGTCTGGAAATGTGATTTCCAGTGTGCCATTTGTTTTGACCCAATCTTGTGGTAACAACAGGGGTTTCACACTGGAGTCCTGCCGGGTACTCTACTGGGTGTGCAAAGCAAGCCTCACAAGTAAGCTTTTGATGTCCCCGGGAAATGGGTAAGCAGCCTGGTTTGTACAGAGAACAGGAAAGCCGAAAGCTGTGGTGCCTGGGGCTCCTGGAGTTTGACTTTGTTCCTCCCTCACTTCTCTCCCTGGTGTTCTTTGAGCTTGCCGTTTATAGAATCTGAGCCAGGGAGACAGGTGAGGGCCCAAGCCCCTCCCCCTTGCTGGAGGGAAGAGATAGGACATCTGAATTCTCTGTGATCTTCCTCTGTACTCCCTGCAAAAGTCAGAAGCAGCCCTCTTACTTAGGTCCCTATTTGTAAATCAAACATTCCAGCCACTGGTCTGTAGAGTAACCCATTTTACAAACACCTCCAAGGAATGTGAGTTTGAATTGAGATTACCTTCTTGGCCAGTATGGGAGCCTAGGAAGAAAAGTGCCTTTAGAAAAAGTTTTAGCTGGGTTTGTAGTTTTACTTAAAAAGTTAGCTGGTTTTTACTTTCAAGTCTGGTTAACTATGGATCTGAGCTTGGAGGTTGTACTCCACACAGGAGGGTGGAACGGGGAGAACTAGCTGTACTCTCTTGTGTACGTTTGTGGTTTTAATGAACCACCACCTGAAGGCATCTTTCCCCCTTCAGATCGACTTGCCAGGGCCTGGGAGGGAGCTGGTGTTTGTTCTTGCCAGCCGCTGTCACTGGCTGGTGCCATTACCATTTATTTAATGCCACCCACTCTCATTCTCCCCCTTGGCTGACATGGGGTGAGACAGAAGAGGGCACTCCATTTTAGTTTTACAGTGTTGTCGTGCCAGTTTATGACCTGGTACGTACGAATTAAATGAGTGTGTGAGTGTAGAGGCAGAGGAAGGGCATGGGGTGGAATTTGTGGGACAATCTGGTTTCCTTTCTCTGACTATGGGGAAGGTACCTTGAGAACTGATCTCTCTTTCCCTCTTCCTTCCGCCCCCAACCCCCACATGCTTGCACATAAGCATGCACATGCCTTGGGGTTCTCTGACCTGCAAGCCTTATGGACTATTGGTATGGACTTGTCTCCTGAATACGAGTCCTTATGTGGTATACATGATTGAGCTTCGGGACGTTAATGACGCTCAAATTACCTGTAAGGGTGTGTGTTTGTGTGTTTCGTGAGAGAGTATCATAGCTTTCATCGGGTTCTCAGAGGAATCTCTGATTCCTAAAAGGATAAGAACCTCTGCTGTGGGGTTTGAATCTTAGACTAGCAGTAAGGAAAGCAATAGCTGGCATTTATTGGGCTCCGACCATGTACCAGGCACCACTAACTGCTTTGTGTGCATTATTTCATTTGAGTCTCCAAACCCTGCAGGGAGAGTATTATGATTATCCTTTTCTCACTGAGGAGGAAGTGGAGGCACGGAGAGTAGCCCATTAGACCTGGTGTGATGCAGTTTGCTGGATCTGGGACCTCAGTACAGTCCGATTCTGGAACTTTTGGTTGTTCCTTGGTAGGGCCTCCATGCCAAGCCAGGTGGCTCCATAGTGACTCTGGGATATGGCCAGTTTAAAACTCCTTTCCCTCTTCACTGACCCTGAATGGGCACCATCTCCTTCCTGGTTTCCGTGGCTCTGGAGGGGTAGGGGAAGAGGTTGTCTTTGGGAAGTGAATCTGTTTGGTTTTGAACCTTAGTTCTGTGACCCACTTGTCCTCAGGGTAAAAGATCCATAGCCCTGCCAAAGGGTTACCATGAACATAAAATAAGTTGATAATGTACCTAAAATAACTTGGGGAACCACGAACACTGTGGGGTTATGTGTCAGGGTAGTGACATCTGTGCCATCCTAGGGAGAGTGAGCAGCCTCAGGCCTCGGAAGGATGGCACCTACTTGGTCCAAAGGCTGTGAGACCAGGGACTGTTTGTCTTAGCTGCCTGTGGTCAAAAGTACATCGTGGGCAGCAGAGGTGGTGATGTAACTGGTCTCCGTGTGTGTATTGAAAAATCCAACTTTGCTCTTTCCTCATTTCAGGTTTACCCTTTGAGTCAAGTCAAATATTTATCAAATATTTCTGAGTACAAAAGTAGTGTATTAGAGAGTTGTAGGGATGCAGCAGCAGAGCCCCTTTCCTTAGGGAGCGTGCAGTCTTGTTGACGAGCAAGGGAGAAGTGTGGTAAGTCTAAGTGCAGACCACACAGTTGGGTGCTGGCCGGAGGGTTTCAGAAGAGAGGGAACTCGACTTGAAGAATGAAGGAAGGCAGTTCAAGATGAAGAATCTGGAGAATTGGGATGGGTGGGCGGTGTGATGTTACTGGGTCGGGGAGAAACACTGAGCAAGGCAGAGGGTCTCACAGCAAGAAGTGGGAGGGTCCGGGTCCGGTTACTGGGAGACTCTGACTAGCTTGAGGAAGATTGATCTTTGAGTGGAATGGGTCAGAAAGGGAAGCTTGATACTGGTCAATTTGTTTTTATACAGGCTCAGAGCATTATGTTTTGTAGCTCAAATGAAAATTGAATGTTTATTGATAATAGTTTTTGAAGAGCTGAGCTGATATGGGCAGCCCACCACATACCTGGTTTTTCCCTGTTGGACTTGCCACATGAGGTTTCTGTAAGGGGAGTGGGAAGGTCACGTTACTGCTTCTCCATTCTTTCAGCCCCTTGTCCCGCACGTGCAGCTAGCTTATGACCGTGCGTTGCATATTGAAAGTACTCAGTACGCGCTTAATTTTTATTTGACTCATGGGGCTGGGGAGAGCCAGTCTCTGTTTCCACTTCCTCAAGCACCAGCCTTTTTATTTGAGTTGCTAACATCTTCCTCCTTTCCTTTCTGGTGGTGCCCTGTTGTAAAAGTCTGGTTACCAGTATTTTGACCATAAAGTAGCTTTTGTGCTGAACCATCCACAAACGGAGTGATGGATAGTTAAATAATTGAAAATAGGCTCTGTGGGTTAAAAAATGAAAAAACCTGTTTACACCTTTGTGTACAGCAGCTACCATGCTCTTCCTCTATTTTTTTCCGGAGGAGGTGGATCGGGCATCCCCAGTGCGGTGTCTGTTCTGGTCTGAGGTTCTAAGAGAAAGACTCGGTGGTTATGGCTGTGGGGATGATCAGAAAATACTTCAAAGGGAGCTTGGCTCATGCCATACCAAGAGACAGTTGCCTTCATTTGTTCCAGAATTGAGTGGGACCATCTCTAAGTGGGGGCGGGGGGGCGGGGGCGGTAGGAAGTCTAGGTCAGGGTTGGGAGGTTTTACTTTCCAGCTCCTTAATGATGTTTGGCTTTCTCACCATGAGTATTTAAGCCTTTGTAAATTTTTATATTTATAACTATAATATAAAAATTATGTAATAAAAATAATATAAAAGTTGATGATGGTACTATACAGTTAAGTAATGAACTGCAGTTAGAAAATCAGGTGCAATCTGACCTTATTACAGGTTTACAAATATTTGCTAGCTTTATCATTGATTTTCCTGTGTTCTGAAGTCCAAGTAGAATGATGACCTTAACTCCAGGTTGTAGGTACTCAGTACGTGTATCGCCTCAGATGGCGAACCGGATTGTGGATTCTGCGAGGAGCATCCTCAACAAGTTTATCCCCGATATCTACATTTACACAGACCACGTGAAGGGACTCAACTCTGGGAAGTGAGTGTGCCTCTTTGGGGCCCAGTGCTGCAGCTCCCCAGCCTTTTCCATGCACCTGTTCTGATTGTGGTTAAAGCTGTCAGCCCTGAGGTTGGGCAGCCAGAAGAAGAATAATTTCAGGTGTAATTTCCTTCCGACTTACTGTGTTGTTACCAGTAACTCCTGTCCCACGGAGGGCATTCCAGTGGCCAGTGCTGAGAGATGAGGGGTCCAGTCCCTAGCCTGGGGGATGGAAATCCAGCTATAAACAGTGCTTTAAGCTTTAAATCCCATCTGCTCTCTAATCCCACAAAAAGTTAAACAAGTTCTTCCGCTCTGTGTACATAACAGTTTGAGAGGGTGGGGAACCCTTTAAGGGCTAAGTGTCAGTCACATTCTCTTTCCACCAAGGGAACACCCCTAGAGCTAAAGAAAGTTGTTACTGCAATTCGAATTTCATTTAGTTAAAGCCTTTGCGGAAAAACCTCAGTTTAGAAAATAAAAAGTTAATGATGATCTGTGTAATGACAATGTTTGTTTTAGGCTTTCATTGTATATTTAGAAACCAGTAGGTTAGAGAAGCAGTTAAAACCAGTGTTTTGCCCTGGCTGGTGTGGCTTAGTTGGTTGGACCGTTGTCCCATAACCAGAAAGTTGCAGGTTTGATCCCCATCCTGGGCATGTACAGGAGGCAACCAATCAATGTTTCTCTTCCTTCCTCTCTTAAAATTTTTTTTTTATTCTAAAAATGTTAAACATAAAGAAAAATTGACCTGAAACTAATACAAAATAATATTGAATATACCTATAATTGAAAAATTAAAGAAAAATGGAAAGGATGGTATAGTGAACACCTATATATTCCTGCTACCTGTCGTTAACAGTATTTTGCCAAATTCACTTTACCTGTGTGGGTTTGTTTCTTTTTGCTGAAACGTTTTAGTGTGAATAACACTATTTTTGTACTTTGAATCTGAACATTTCCTAAAAATAAGAATATCAGAGTCTATGATCAACAGTGGTGTGTTAAGAAATCAATTTTTTCCCGAGTGGTGCTACAGCTAACCTTTTTCATAGATGTTCTATTTGAGGTTTCTTTTAACTTCAGCAAAAGAAGGAAAGAGCATAAAGGAGGGGTGAGGGTGTTATGGGATCTCTGGCCTTCTGAGGCCTCAGGGAAGATCAAGGCAATTTCAGAAACACAATAGCGGCTTGAGGTCTAAAGTGACAGGGGTGCCAGTACCAGAGATTAGAGTTGGGAAAGGGTTTGTGTGCAAAGCTTTGCTCTTTCTTTGGAGGGTCAGAAAGGTCAGTGATGGTCCCAAACCTTTGGGTATTGCTCAAGTGTCACCAGTTCTGTCCTTGTTCATGCCATGGGAGTGATAATGCTTGCATTTCTAAGTACCCGTGAAGGTGAAAGGTCACATATGCCAGCCAGTAAGGCAGTACCCAGCACATACATAATAGGTGCTACAGAAATGGTAGCTGCTCAGAATGTCCTTCCCTTCTCTTCTCTTATTGGCCACAGGTCCGGAGTTACGGGTCAGCAGTTCTCAGGAAAGGGATTACAGAGGGTGTGGGTGGATCAGAAGCCACAGCAGCTGTCTGAATGGCCCATTTTGTCTGGTCTCTCCACCAAAGGGTGGCCAGGGATGAAGCAGAGCAGTTGAAGGCCATACTGCCACCAGCTATAGTGTAGCTTTTCATAGTGACTGCTTAGGTTACCCCAGTTTGTAGTCACACTGTAGGAAGCTCACATGCATCAAGATGCAGCTGTATGTGGACTTGTGGGTCATCAACTCTAAGGTCCCCTTAAATTAAAACCTGTGCATGATAAGGGTGTTTAATTTTCTAAATTTTAAGTTACAGATAACACAGTGATCTTCCTCCTCTGTTACAAAATTATAAAGTCATGAGTGGTTATTAATTTTTTCTGAGTCTGTGAAGAATCAATGTCAATTAGGCTTATGAAATTCAGGCATGAGAGCATGTGTTACGGGCATGGCCCAGAACCTTGGGGCCAGCAGTTGCCGGTGGCCTGTGTCAGTGCTTTGACCAGCGTGCATATCTGTCAGTGTGGTACCATTTTGACTCTCATAGCCATGACTTGGAAAAAAAGCAGAACTAGTCCTTTACCAGTCGGGAAGTTTGGGGGAAAGTTTGGGAGGTTGTCACTTCCAAACTGTACTAATGTGCATCTTCAGTGAGGTCACCTGGTGACCAACTGCTTTGTCGGCATAACTTGAAATAGGACCCATAACACCCCAGATTGGTGGGGGGGGCGGTTTGGAGTATTATACATAAAGCTTAATATGTTACCTTGTTTTACATAAAACAAATATAATATTAGAAGGGACAGTCTTGATCAACTATAAAGTTTATTGTAATAACAAGTATATATACCTCAGAAATCACATGGATGGGAAAATGTAGAAGTTCTTGGGAATGTGGGGGATGTGGGTTAGTTAAAGCAGTGATGGTAGCTCATCTTCTGGTCCTCCCTCAGTTTCTCCACCTTAATTTTGCATCCCACTGCCTCTGCTGCAGAGCAAGGCGTCCCCTCCCTCCTCCTGGTCAAGCAGTTGGGAGACAACTTGAGGTTGTGCTAAAGCGTCCCGTGGTGATAGATGGGTGGCAGGTTGTCACGCACTACGCTGAGTGCCCTGGAACCTTTGATTACATCGGGCACTCACTACACCCCCTTTCCTTGACAGATGTTATTAACCCTGGGTTGCATAGATCATTGAATATTCTTTAAAAAGAAGTTAGTGACCGGCTGTTACAGTTCCTCTCTATAGTGGGCTCGTACAGTGCATTTGAAACATTATTAATTTTACACATAATAAAACTTGGCTAGTTTTGTGGTGAGCACATAGAAAACACTTCATGAACATGTGCGTTGAACTGTGTCAGAAGAGGCTGGTCTGTATTGTGTTGTGTGTGGACTGTAGCGGCTACTTTTTCTTGGTGAAATGTTTACTTAAAAAGCACTGGGCACCCTGGCTAGAGTAACTCAGGTGGTTGGAGCATCACCCCACAAACCAAAAAGTCATGGGTTTGATTCCTGGTCAGGGCACATTCCTAGGTTACACGGGTCATCCCAGTTGGGGTGCCTATGAAAGGCAACCAGCTGATGTTTCTCACATCGATGTTTCTTCCTTTCTTCCTCCCTCCCTTCCCTCTCTCTCAAAAGAAAAGGGAGGGGGGCACTGAGCAAAGTAGGTTTGAGGTGTCAGACCTGGAAATATTGTGGAGAGGTGTGTTTTATTGTTATGGACTGATTTTGTCAAACTGTTTGTCACTAAAGTCTGTGAGGGCAGGAACTCTTGTGTTCACCACAGCGCCTCCAGTTCCTGACCCATGGAAGCTTCCCCGCAGATGTTTGTTGGATTCCTGAGTGAGTGAGTCACTCAGCTGTGGTCCTGGATCAGAGGGTGTTAGGCTCTGGCAGTTGGGCAGTAGAAACACTGTAGGAGAGAAGAACAGGGTGTCAGCTTGTTGATTATGTCAATTGAATTCTGAGTTAGAGATGTCCCTTGGGGACAAAAACAAAGGTGTGACTTATTTAGGTTTTTTCTGACTGGCGTGGTATTTTTCATTTTGGGGAGGATGTGTTCCAAGAGGAGTTGTGATCAGGTGGTCTCCAGCCCCTTACACCTTTGGGGCTGGTGTGAGGGCCAGCTGTGGTGGTGAGTTTGCAAAGGCTTTGGGGTGGAAAACCTGCATTTGAAACACATCTCAGTCACTTTCTGTTGGGAACCGCTCTGCCTGGTTTCAGGAGTTGTAACTGCCCCCCATGGCTAAGGCCGAGTGAGCAACCTCCAGACTACAAGTCACTAAGGAGATAAAGCTTATCTCTGGCAGCAGCACTGCTTCTGCTTCATCCCCCTGCCCTCAATGCTTGGTCTCTTAGTCAGAGACAGGTAATACCCCTCAGAGGAGGGGCAACCTAAGCCAGACATGATCATTTGGGAGGCCATCATGGAAGGACTTGGGGGGCTACAACAAAGAGGGGGTGATGGACCCTCACCCCCCCAACTATTCTGACATAGCCTGAGTCCCCATTTCCATCTGAGAGAAGTGCTTCCTGGCCCTAACCCACTTAAGCCTAAAACCTATGATGGGGAAGGTGGTGCAGCCCTCTGCCAGCTAGAGCAGGTTCCAGGGTGATCAGGCATAAGAAAGAATATATAAAATCCTGTGAAACCTGCTTTGCTAAGAGTGCTTTCATTCATATGATAAGGGTCCGAACAGGAAATGAGTGTGTCTCCCAAAGTTTTTGCAACCCCCTTACCTGGTAGACACTGACTCAGACTAAGCCCTCAGATTTCTTTGAAATGGTATCTGATCCTTGCCACCTGACATTGATTGATGAGCTTTACCTGTATTCCTATGTGTTCCGAACCTAATAAAAGTCATTGAGGAAGAGATTCTTGGTCCTTCTCCGGTGAGAGATTGACCACCTCTCTTCCCCAAGCAGATCATGTCTTGGTAGTTTATTTTCATCTGTGGTGGACGGGGGGACTCGCTGGCAGAGTTGCCCCCACAACTTTCTAGCTGTGGACTTGGTACAGGTTGTTTAATTTCTCCATTTTCTTGTTTGTAAAATGGGCACTACTATCTACTCTGCAGAAGTGTAGTGTCAAAGCCCCCAGCTCAGAAAGTGGCAGAAACTGGTGCTCATTTTCTGGTACCCCCAGTGTGGGGAGTGGAGGAGGGAGGGGGGATGGGAAGGCTGACAGGAAAAGCAATGCAAACTCCTTGGTTCTACCACGTGTGCTTTCACAATGTTGTGTATATTTCCAGTGTAAGCTGATAGGAACTCTGATATGGCTTGTTGTAACAAACCAGAATGCCACCAGAAAGATGTTTGCTTTTTCTTACCTTTTGCTGGTGAATGTCGTTAACTCTACTCAGTGTTCATGCCTTTGAATCCCCAGGTCTCCAGGCTTCGGGCTGTCACTGGTTGCTGAGACCACCAATGGCACCTTCCTCAGTGCTGAACTGGCCTCCAACCCCCAGGGCCAGGGAGCAGCGGTGCTTCCCGAGGACCTGGGCAGGAACTGTGCCAAGCTGCTGCTTGAAGAAATCTATAGGGTATGTCTTCAGCTTCTGCGGGTAGGGGAGAGGAGCCACCAGGAAGCAGCTCACTGCCTCTCATTTTTAATCCTAAGCAACTTTCTTCCCTTCCAAGGGCTTAAGCCAAGGAGTTAACCTCTTCTTACCTATTTAAAAACAGTTTAACATGACTAGCTTAATAGATTAGCTAAACTAGTCAGTGAGCAGAGGTCCACCCTCTCCTGGTTTACAGGGCAGGTAAGTTTTTTTTTTTTTTTTTTTTAAGATTTTATTTATCTTTAGAGGGGAAAGGGAGGAGAGAGGGAGACAAATAACACTGTGTGGTTGCCTCTCGTGCGCCCCCCGCCGGGAACTGGCCTGCAACCCAGGCATGTGCCCCGACCGGGAATCAAACCGTGAATGTCTGGTTTGCAGGCCCGCGCTCAATCCACTGAGCTACACCAGCCAGGGCAGGGCAGGTAAGTTTTAACAGTTGGGAGAGGAAAGATCTGGAACAGTGATAGACAGGAAGGAGAAGGTAAAAAAAAATGAAGGCGGTTAGGTGGTGACTGGCCAGTTGAAGAGAACACATGGCCAGGAGCAAAGCAGGCACCGTCTCAGCTCCCCCAGTTGTTGCCATGTGAAGGTGGGGGCTCCTTGTTTTTAGGTGTTTCAAGAGAAGTGGGAAATTTGGATTTGTATGTGACAGTTGATTCAGATAGAAAATAGTGTCGACAGGGTAGAATTTGCAGTGTGTTCTAGAGCCGGGGTCCCTGACCCCTGGGCCACGGACCAGTACCATTCCCTGGCCAGTTAGGAACAGGAAACAGGTTGCACAGCAGGTGGTAAGTGGTGGGCAGGTGAGCAAGTGAAGCTTCACTTGTATTACTGCCTGAGCTTCGCCACCTGTCCTCCACCCCTTCCCAGTCTGTGGAAAACTGTCTTCCATGAAACCGGTCCCTGGTGCCAAGACTGCTGTTTCAGAACATGGAAGAATGTTTAGGGAAGGCAAGCCTGTGTCAGAGCATGACAGAGGCTTTGGAAAGATGAGAACACAAAACAGAGAAGGGACATGAAGCTGAAGGTAAGACTTCACTCATTACCATTTGCTTCTTTGGATGGGCCATAGCTCAGAGTGATCTGGACCAACCTGTCCTCTAAGTTGCCACAGTTTTTTCTCTGTCGATTTATATAAGCAACATACATATAGGCATGTGAGGGGGGACTCCCCCAAAAAGCTGGACTTATTTTCTGGGAGCTGGGCCCATTGTAGCACTGGCTTCCTCTACTAGGTGAGTGTTCCAGGAACCCATCTGTATCAGTGTGCCAGCTGACACATTGTTGTGAGAAGCTGCATTTGACTTCAGTGAATTTTATTTTGAAGAGTCTTTTGACGCTTTCGCCCATTTCGTGATGGGTGATCTATGAGCACACCTGTCTACATTGCACTGAATATTCGGCAGTTTTTTGACCCAAAACAGCATGACCCCAGGCCCCAACTTGCCTAATCACCCCATCTTGCCCCAAGGGACTTTTATTTTGTTTCTCCGGATGAAAAGAGTCCTCAAAGGGAATTGTTTTGCCAATGTGGAAGAGGTGAAATAAAAAGTAGCCAAAAATCGACAAGTTCAAAAACTGTTTTGAGCAGTAGAAAAATGTCTCGATAGGTGTATTGCATCAAATGGAGAGTACTTTGAAGGTGACTGAAGTTTAAACATGTAAAAATATACACTTTTTAAAAAATAAATAAATGTTTCAGATTTGGGGGGTTCTCCCTTGTACATACACTTTTACTCTGTTTCCCAAAATTAGTTGTGGTGACCTAAAGTAGGGGAAAAATTGGGAGGGAAGGAGAGATGATGGCAGGAGAAAGAGGATATAAAGCTGCCTGAAAACACATTCTCTGAGATCCTGCTTGCTTGGTTGGGAGAAAGTCACAAGTCTGTTTTCAGGTTCCGGTGGTGCCGTCTTCTGCCTTGGATCCATGTCGGGAAGAAGGGAAAGCCTCTTCCTTGACACGCAGAATCCAGGCCAGGCTCCCAGGGACAGTCGTGTGTGTGAGGCCAGGCCAGGCTCCCAGGGACAGTCGTGTGTGTGAGGCCAGGCCAGGCTCCCAGGGACAGTCGTGTGTGTGAGGCCCACATTCTTGAGCTGAGTGCTAGCAAGAACTATACCCTGTGTGATTCGCTTCTGTGTGGTGTACAATGTTTGTAAATTGTTTTTTTATTCAGCTGACGAGCCTCTCATCTCTGTATTTCTGTGTATTTATTATCAGTTAGTAGACATCTCTATGGTTTCTTCCTGAGGTCTCCAAGGAAGCTTTGCCCCCTTTAGTGGCAAAAGTCATATGTGATCTCAATGAAATAAAACCAGTAACACAGGGGTTCAGTGGTGATTTTGTTTCATTTTTTAATTCTTTTTGTCACTGCAGTTTATTCATCATTGCAGTGGAGTGAGACCTGGTTTGACTCACGAGTATTGATCCCTGTGCCAGCCTCATGTAGGAAAGCAGCTTGTAGCCACAGTGTTGTCCCCATCAGTCGCCGTTCTCAATAGTACCTCTCCTTGGTCGCACGGTGGAAGAAGTAAGATTGAATTGTTTTAGAGTTCATTAAAACGTCCAGGTCTTAAAGGTGTTTTTTTAATGTTCCTCACAAAGGACCTATAATTGTGTATTTAGTAGCGTGACTCCATTCCCTCCACGCGCCATTCAGCCAGCAGATGGTGGCAGAAAGAGGTATCCTATCAAATGAAATCCTCCTGAAGGGGAACAATCTTCTTAATACTTTTGTGTAGCCAAGGTCCGATGTTAGCTTTTTTGATGCTAAATCAGTTCAATGTTTGATGCTTAATTTAGTGATTTTTTTTTTTGAAAGATGGGTAATAACCAAAAATTGGAAGTAAATAAAAGATCAAGAGGTGGTGTCATCTAGGAAGTTTGTCATCTGGACGTCTGTGAAGACGGACTGTGCATGTGATGCCTGTGTCCCTAAGCCCCTGGTGAACTGTTCAGGTTTCCCATCCGTGGTGGCTGGAGGCCCCCATTCTGACCCTGGGAATCCTTCCATGTCTTCCAGCAGAGCTGGGGGAACCGGAAGAGCACATTACAGAACAGCCCTGCTGGAGCATGGGGTTTATCTCGTAAATAGCACACGATAGGCCTCAGGGTGGAAACACAGTCTGCACGTTCACAATAGAGAAAGCATGCAGTCTGGATTAGGTTATTTTATTTTATTTTTTCTCTCTACTCTAGTTAACTTCTACATAAAAACCATTTCATTATGCCTGCACCAAGTTTCCTTTTTTAAATCACTCAGAAAACTTTCTTTTTGTGTGTCTACAGTCTTCAGTTGTTAAAAGGATGAAAATGCTTCATGTTTTTATGAGTAATTTATAGGTCTCTGTTGTGACATGGTTTCAGTAAGTAATAAAAACTTATCCCCTTTGAAGGCGCTGTTTATTTTTATCAGTTTTAATCCTCTGATCTAATCCCTCCTGTTCTATTTGTGTCTCATCAGTTACCAAGTCCTCTTGATTGTGTTCCAGGCTCTCTGGAACTGCCTTTCCTATCCATCTTCTTGGCTGCTTCCATCTCCTACCATTATGTGGGTTGGCTGTCCCCACTTGCGGGAAAGTCCTTTCTGTATCTGCTCCAATGTCCCCTTCATTTCTGAATTTCCTAAAACACCTGATCTTTTCACTCCTGTGCTCAGAAGACCTTCAGTAGCTTCTCACTTTCTGGAGATAAATCAGAACCCTTGTTAGACTCAGAAATGCCCTCAGTGTGCCCATTGTACCTTCTCCCTGTTTGTATACTTCTCTTCTGCAGGTAGCATGCGGCCGTTTCAGCATGGCCACCTGGTTCCTTGCTGGCCCTAGGTCCCATTTCCCTCAACCCCCTGCTTTTCCTTCTTCTCCAAACCTCTTCCCTCCAGGGTCGGCTCCGGTTCCCACCTCCCCTACACCTTCTCCTGCTGCGCTGAGTGACAACCCCTCCCCGCTCACCTTGGCCGTCCTGGTGTCCACAGCCCTCAGTGGCTGCAGAGCTTTGGCTTCACCTCATTCTGCTTCCTGCTCATATCTCATCTTTTAGCGAGATCGAAGCCACTTTCAGTGAGATTGAAGCCAGTGAGGTACAACCCACAAGGGTTGTATCCTCTGCTGAGGCTTGACCCCACCACGTCCTTCATTGTATCCTGTACACAAACCTCCAACATATTTATTGCGCTGAAATACTGGTCTAGTACATAATAAAAATCAAGTCGGTTGAGAATGGTGGAATAGCAGCATAGTGATAGGAAGCAGAAACCAAAGAGGACAGTTTAATTTTAGACAGTCTTACTGGGTTGACCCAAGAGTACATTTAGTTTTTTCTGTAAAAGAAGATTCATTTTTTTTTCACCAATAACTTCATTGATTTGGATATTTTGAGTATGTTGGCTATCCCCATGTGGTATAATGTTGGTTGTTTTCAGTTAATGTCATGATTTGATTGCTATCAATTTCAGCTGGTCTAGCCAACCATGTGCATTGTCCAGCGAGAAATCTCCAGCATGAAACTTTGCAAACTACTTTCGACACATTCGATCAGTCACAGCACCTTCTCCACACACTGCACAAATCTTTTCTTGCGTTTCAGTTGTGTCTTTACCTTTATTGAAATAATAGAGCGTAATATGCCAGAAATGTTGCATATTTTCTTCCATCTTCAATATTAAAATGGCTGTACAAAAATTCACCAGTTTTCATTAGGTTTTTTTAAAATGCATATTTAAAAGCTGTCACAGTATGGTCTGACAGAATTGTTCCGAATGAAGTTAAAGACAACTAAGCACTACTAGAGCCATCTTACAAAAACCAAATGATCTTTTTAGCCAACCCAATGTGAAAAGTAACAAGTTTTGTAAAACAGTTTTGTTGGTCCTCATATTCTCTATCAGTCAGACTTTCTTTTTTGGATGGAAATATATATGCTATACCTGCTCTTTTCCTAACATTTGCTTAATGGGGGTGAGTACCATTTAAGGTAGTGTAGGAAGAGCAATAGATTTTCTTAACGACTAGCTGTAGGATAAAGCCCCTTTATTTTCCTATGCCATTGTCATAAATGAAGTCTGACAGCAAAGAGTGAGTGTCTGTGCCTGAGAATCAATTTATTCCCTACACTGCAGGTGTTTAAAAAGGAGAGAGGTGTGTCCAGCAGTGAGTGGCCACCTGTTCTGTTTCTAGTCTGGGACTCTAGGCTTGGCTGGTGATGTGACATCATCAGAAACGGGGTTCTTTTTGTGACATGTACAAATATGTAGAAATTCGAGATCATCCTACTTTCACTGTGTACAATGTAAGTTTGAATTGTTTAAATAAAGTTATCCCAGAAAGAATGATCAGAAAGGAAGACATTTTAAGGCACACATGTAATCAGTAGTAATGCACACATCTAGTAAAAGCAGAATAGCTTAAATAGTCGAGAAATTTTAAAAATGAAAGAAAGGCAACCAAAACATTGTTTCTCGGGAGAAAGTTCATCAGAATTCTGTTCTGCTTATTGGTTTGAAAGAAGAGGAATGAAAAGTGGGGGAAATAGTGCATAAGTAATAAGAATGGATGGATCTTAATAGCTCTTCAGTTCTAAGGCACATAGGAAACTAAGGTAACTTAGTTTACCTTAGCAGTTTACCTTTACCTTTAGCAGTTTACCTTTAGCAGTTTACCTTTAGCAGTTTTTGAATGTGATTGAGTCTTACAGGTAAAGGTTTTTTTCATGTCACATGGACTGTGGTGTTCCACAACAGTAAATAAATAGAAGTGCGTTCACTTCACCCTTGTTACCTGTACATTTCCTAGAAACTGATTTTGCTGTTTTGTTTGTATGTCCTGCTGCTGCTTTAAATAGAAGGGAAAGTTTTACTTTTCTCTAGATGCACCTCAGTGTCTGTGTATTTATTCTGATAGTCTCAGCTAATACAATTATTTCAATTAACCGTTAGTTTAACCCCCACAGTTAAATGATAATCGGAATGACTCTTAAAAGACCCTTATTCTGTTTTATAATTGCTTGAAGTTTGCGATTTGCTCTTCTGTGGTTCTGATATCCTTGGTATTTGTGACTATTTTCTTAGTTTTCTATTTTCTGGTTGGTAGGACAATTAATCTTTAAAGTGTTTGTATTTATAGGGTGGATGTGTGGACTCGACCAACCAGACCCTGGCTCTTTTGTTTATGACCCTTGGACAACAGGATGTTTCCAAAGTGCTGCTCGGACCGCTCTCTCCCTACACGTGAGTTGTTTTCTTTCCACCTCATTGTGCTGTCCAACTTAATCTTCCAAATGCATGAAATCAATCTTCCAATTGTACTGTGCACAGCTTATCACCGTGAACACCTGCATGTTCTGATCCTTGAATAAGCTGGAGGTTGTTGCTTCTAACCTGGTGTTTAACAAGATTCTTGCCTTCCTTCTTCTGTAGTTCCGTCATTCCCATCTCTCAGTTCCATGTCGTTGAAGTTGCATGGTATAGGGACAGTCTTTTGTCTATTCTTCAGATTTTTTCCCATTTTGGAGGTAAACTCCAGATTCCATTTTAGCTTGGATTTTATTAGTTTTCTTAATCCCTCTTTTTCATAGCGGTGGCAAATAGGGCTGTCTTTTTGTCTAAGATGATAAGGGTATAAACTGGCTGGGAAGATGAAGAAGGAGGCAGCGTATATAGTAATGCCATCAGACTGGTAGGGAAATTGTAAAGGTGAGTTCGTGGCCGTTGGATGTTATCGGAAGTTGACGGCTGAGGTATTAAAGCAAGCACTGTCCAAAAAGAGCAGCTCATCAGAAGACTTGAATTAGTGAATAGTTTGCTGTAACAGCCTGTTTGAGCACCGACATCTGGCTCTGTGTATGTGCGCCAGAAATCATTACATGGCCATTGGAGGGTGGGCCTTGCGTGTGAGGAGATGCTTAGGTAGCTAAGAGACTGAACTGTCCTTTTTCGGTTATCATGGTACCGATGCTGTATATCTGAAAGGTACAGTACTGTGATAACTGAAGAATGGTGGTGCCATCACATTGAGAAAGGGCAAGCACTCCGAGGGGGCGTTGCACCATTGGGTCATTGGGGGCATGGAGACCAGGAACTTGGCAGAGATTCTTTTGGAGGGTTTTTTAAAAATTTTGTGTTGGTGGTGAAGATCTTTTTGGAAAAAGGAAATGGAAGAGAATACATTCTGTTAGCGATGGGAGAAGACTGATAAAGCAGGAAACTGGTGAATACCACATTATCTGCTGACAACTTGTATAAAGTGTTTCACGGGACAGGAAACCTGAAATTGAGTAATCCTCAGAGGCACAGCAACATCGGAATCAGCATTGCTAAAATAGACTTTGTAGTTAAGGCATTTGGAGGGGGCGGCGCTGGGAGTACAGCACCCTAAGTGCAGGGATTCCTGTAGAGAGTTTGCTGGAAGCAGCCGACAGTCTGTGACCACGCGGCCCATCAGCTTCTCAGCTCTCTCTTTGCTGCTGCTCTCCCAGCCTCTGCTTTGGGGCAGCAGCAGGGCTGGTTGCTCACACAGCGTTGAGGCTGTGTGTCCAGACATGTGTAGTTGGGGGGCATGGGGTTTGGCAGAACATTATGTGAGAAATGGAGTGCACGTTTTTATTTTTCCTTGATGCTTTTGGTTTTTTTTCCCCTTAGAGTTTTTTTCCCCCAGTTCGCCTTTGGGCCTTTATACCTTTTCAACACAGCAGCCCCTGTGGAGATCATCAAGATGTGACTGGGTTTTTTTTTTAAGTTTGTGTGCTCTCTTCGACACACCCTCTCACCAAACATTAATTGTAGTGTCTTGTCTTCAGAAACCTTGCCTAAAATTACTACATCTCCGAAGAAAACAAAGTGGTCTACTCTGAATGGAGCTTTACAGGACTGGGGCAAAACGCAAAATTATGTGTGAGACTTGGGGCTGTCTTTCTCTGGACTTCCTGCCTCTCAGCGTTTCATGCAAGAAGGGCCACTGTGGGGTGGGAAAGGGCAGCCTCCTTTCTCTTTGGTAAGCTGGGGGAGGGGGGGGCATGAGGGCTGTAAGGAATTTGTTTTTTTTTAACATTTTATTGATTATGTTATTACAGTTGTTCCATTTCCCCTCCTTCACTCCCCTCCACCTTGCATACCTCCTCCCACCCACATTCCCCCCTTTAGTTCACGTTCATGGGTCATAAGTTCTTTAGCTTCTACATGTCCCACACTACTCTTGCCCTCCCCCTATTTTCTGCCTACCATCTGTGCTACTTATTCTCTGTACCTTTTCTCTCTCTCTGCTCCTCCCAGTCTCCTGTTGCTAACCCTCCATGTGATCTCCATTTCTGGGGTTCTGTTCCTGTTCTAGCTGTTTGCTTTGTTTGTGTTTGTTTTAGGTGTGGTTGTTAATAACTGTGAGTTTGCTGTCATTTTACTGTTTGTAATTTTTTATCTTCTTTTTCTTAGATAAGTCCCTTTAACATTTCACATAATAAAGGCTTGGTGATGATGAACTCCTTGAACTTGACCTTATCTGGAAAGTACTTTATCTGCCCTTCCATTCTAAATGAAAGCTTTGCTGGATAGAGCAATCTTGGATGTAGGTCCTTGTCTTTGAGGACTTGAAATATGTCTTTCCAGCCCCTTCTTGCCTGTAAGGTCTCTTTTGAGAAATCAGCTGACAATCTGATGGGAACTCCTGTGTAGGTGACTGTCCCCTTATCTCTTGCTGCTTCTAGAATTCTCTCCTTCATTTTAATCTTGGGTAATGTAATTATGTGCCTTGGTGTGTTCCTTCTTGGGTTGTCCAACTTCTTTTGGACTCTCAGCTTCTTGGACTTCCTGGAAGTCTGTTTCCTTTGCCAGATTGGGGGTTCTCCTTTATTATTTGTTCAAATAAGTTTTCCACTTGTTGCTCTTCCCCTTCCCCTTCTGGTACCCTATAATTCAGATGTTGGAATGTTTAAAGATGTCCTGGTGGTTCCTAAGCCTCTCCTCATTTTTTTGAATTCTTGTTCCTTCCTTATTTTCTGTTTGGTTGTTTCTTTCTTCCTTCTGGTCCACTCCATTGATTTGAATCTCAGTCTTCTTCCCATCACTTTTGGTTCCCTGTGCATTTTGCTTCATATCACTTAGTGTAGCCTTCATTTTTTCATCTAATTTGCAACCAAAGTCAACCAGTTCTGTGAGCATCCTGATCACCAGTGCTTTGAACTGTGCATCTGATAGGTTGGCTATCTCTTGGTTGCTTAAAAGTATTGGCTCTGGGCCTTTGATCTGTTCTTCTCTTTGAGCCTTTTGGGAGGGGGGGGGTCTGGTCACACCTGTTACATTATGAGGGGCAGAGCCTTAGGTGTTCACTAGGGCAGCGCAACCCAAGTGCTAGATTGTGATGCTGTATGTGGGGGCAGGGTCAGAGAGGGAACAATGGCACTTGCTCTACTCTCTCTTGGATTTCAGTCCTCTGCTGTTTCTCACAAGCAAATTGGGCCTTTCTGGTGCTGGTTCCTGGGTAGGTGGGCTTGTGTAATTTTAGGAGCCTGTGGGTCTCTCCAACGAACTCTGGTGTGAGACTGGGAGTCTCTCCTGGCACCTCACCTCCCACAAGTGTTTTCAGTCAGTGCTTGTAGGCTTTATTTCTCCTGTGCTGGGGCCCTGGGTTGCGTGGTCTGTCTCACTGCCCATTTTCACCTGGTTTATCTGCACCCAAATGCATGACCTCAGTCAGCCAGCCGCCTTGCGCACCTCATTGGGTCTGCTCCTTGCTACTCTGCGCCCAGGGTCTGCCAGTCACTCCCTTTTCCTGCTGCAACCCCTCTCCGCCCCTCTTACCGGTCTGGGTGAATGGTTGTCGAACTTCTGTACAGTTCAACTTTCTGTCAGTTCTGGTTGGTTTTTTGTTTCTAAGTTTTTCTTGTCCTTAATTTTGGTTGTGCAAGGAGGCACAGTGTGTCTACCTATGCCTCTATCTTGGCCAGAAGTCAGGAGTTTGTTTTTGAAAGCTGTATCTGTTTGGGGCCTTCCCCCCTCCCCCCTTTTTTTTATTATGGGAGGCTGCAGTGGCTCAAAATGATGAAGGACAAAGGTAGGAAGAAAGACACGTCCTTCAGCAACCTAGTGGGCGAAGTTAACACCATATTTGTGTGTGCATTGCAGGGTAAAAAACACCCAGAGTCTATCTATCATCAGTATAATCATGGTGGTGGGAGTGGGGGGGAGTCGTCATTTTATCCTAGTTGGTTTCAAGAGTTTGAAGAGCCAACTACCACTTATTTTTAGGTATGGTTAAAGTCATAAAAGTCTGTTTGTTTTTTGACATCTCAAATTTCATAAGAAAACTAGAAGCAAGACCCTCATTAGGTTAAAGACATTTTTTTCTGGCAGTTTTCACATTCCGATTTGTATAAATAGCTTTTTAAATGTTTCTTTTTAACAGAGCATGAAGATTAAGGAGAATGTTTTTTCTCGCAATATTACTTTCAAACCCTTTCTGAAAAGTAAGGGTCTTGGTTCTTTCTTTTCTTCTTCCCTCTTGTTTTGCTTATGGTGGGCTTTCTGTGTCATTCTTTTTTTCATCCAACTGTGTTACTTGAGAAGGCAAGTCTGTATGTATGAAATTCCTCACAAAGGCCAGAGAGTTTTTTCAGTAGAATAAAATAGTACTGGATAACATGCTGGTATGTGGAGAATCTCTTTTTATAAAATTAATTTAACCTTTTTTCTTTTTTAAGATGTATTCATTTATTTTTAGAAGGGAAGGGAGGGAGAAAGAGGGGGAGAGCAATGTCAATGTGTGTTTGCCACTTGCGTGCCTGCCACTGGGGACCTGGCCCACAACCCAGGCATGGGCCCTGGCTGGGAATTGAACTGGTGACCCCTGGTTTGCTGGCCGGTGGTCAATCTACTGAGCCACACCAGCCAGGGCTAATTTAATCTTTATTGCATTTTCCCCCCCATTACCATTTAGTTCCCTGTCCCTCACTCTCCCAGCCACCACCACACTGTTGTCCATATCCATGAGTCCTTTTTCGTTTTTGCTCAGTGCCCCCACCATCTGTCAGCCTGCTCTCCATCTGTGAGTCTGTCCCCATTTTTCTTGTTAGCTCAGTTTGTTCATTAGATTCCACATATGGTGTGAAATTGTATGGTATTTGTCTTTCTCTCACTGGCTTATTTCATATAGCGTAATACTGTCTCGTCCATCCGTGCTGTCACAAAGGGTAAATTTTTTTCTTTTTTATGACCGAGTAGTATTCCATTGTGTAAATGTC